TTTTTATGGAACGAAAAAGGGCAAAGGTTAAACTGCAGCAAAAATTTCAAGATAAACAGTAAAAGTATACTTCAATACTTGGACAGTAGCTTGCAATTTGTAGATTAAGCATTATTTGATGATTGATGGCGTTGATTTTATTATTGCAGAAGGGCTTGTCTCCCGCACCATAAAAACCTACCTGAATCTGAACAATTTGGAACAGATTTGTCAGTAAGTCTTCTGTGCATGGCTGGGCTGGTTTTATTACTGTAAAAGAAATTCTGTGGAAAATTGACTTACATTTTGACTTAAAAATAGTATAGCTAAACTGGAAATGATCGTCCCCAAAAATCAGTATAGGGTCTAACTCATCATATTGAACTCTTTGTATGTACTTTTTTAGATATTCAGGCCCTGATCTCAGTCAGAAATCATAATGGTGTATTGTTTGTATGTATCATATAGGTATCCAGGCCCTGTTCTGTTCATCAGAAGAACTCAGGATGAAATGATTACTACCCGTTCACTAAAAATAGGGTAAGTTAACATCCAGAACTTAATGTTTACATCCCGTCAACTTAACATACCATAGTTCAGTAAAAGCTGAGGTTGTCAATGTAACATACATGAAAAGAGAAAGTAGGAGTGTCACCTCTTTTAATGCATTGTGCAAGTGCAAGTTTCAATTCTCTCTAAGTGATTAATACAGCACACCTCAAGTTTAATGCTGGCTCACATCAGTGAACTGGTCAACATGTCACGGCACCATAGTATAACAACCGTCCACTGAGTATGGGGTAAGTACTTTAGGACTAAATGCTTACAATCTGTCCTTTAAGTTTAAGGTAAGCACTGCGTAGAATATACTATCACTGCATTGCCACACAATAACCCATTAGATGTGACATGGGTAGTATTTTATGACTACGTTAAATTCGTCCTATATGCAGTATCTCCAGCCCTATGGGCCTTTTGTTTTCAGTAGTGTGCTATAATAGACAGAGAAATAGAGCTGCTCTGCTCTGTATATTTCAGAGCAGAAAGCACAGACTGAATGTTATCCTAATTTGTTTGCAGGGAGACCGCAATGATGTCCTTGCCCAGCAACAGAGGGAATGACTTGTTAGTAGGATTTCTAAAGCATAGGTAAGTACTTTTAATACATCAATTAGTCTGCAGCAACCTCTCGGGGGATCATTAAAAATGGTTGCTTTTGACAGGTGGTCACTATAGATGGGTGAAGGTCCAGTGACGACTGATTTACAGTCAAGTTCCTCTATAAGTATTACAATAAGAAATCGCATTCATAACCGATTTGCATTCATACCGGCATGAACATTGAAATAATTCTGATCAATCCTTATATATGGATGAAGAGATTTGAATCAAATTTGGCATGGAATATCCCTTGGCCAAGAGAATTTCTTGTTGGGGGTCCTCTTTCCGTATAAGAAGAGAGATTTACTATAGACTAGAGGTGTCTTACTCTTTCAGAGGTTGCTTATAAACCTATTTTACTGTACACTGTTTTGTTTCTTGTTTAGGTACCCAAATATTGTAGACGATACAACTATGTCTGTCCTTACAAGATGGTTAGCTGAGAAAACAGAAAGACAATGTAAGTATCATTAGTAGAATCTTAAATAATGATGTAGAAAAATGAAGTACAAGTATTGATTTGGTAATTCATTCAATAACAAACAAAAATTTCTGTGAATTTTTCATATATTTTTTTTTAGTTCATATGTTTCTTTTTTGGTCTTGAACAATTTTACAAGGACACCTCTAAATTCTGAATTTTAATTTCAAAAAATATTTTTTGGCACATCAATTTTGTTATTGATTTAAAGATGTTTGTACTGTCACTGTACATTGGAAAGTTGTTTCCGGCATGAGAATACTGTTCAGTTGTTAAATTTTGCGGGGTTAAAATTTCACGATTTTGTGTCAAGAAATCATTCACAGGGGGTTTAATTTCGCAAATCACAACTTCTGTAAGTCTGTTTCGGAACACCTTGCAAAGTACAAAAAGTTAAGAAGGACAAAGAAATGCTGAAAAAGTGTTTACACTTGCCGGGATTTAAAGTGTACACATTTCTTTATTCTGCTCAATTTTATGTGTAAGCATCACCAGTGTTCTGGGTGCAGACAGGCCAGACCAGTATCCAAACCCTTGACAATCATTATACTGTTGCTCTAACTAACACTGAGCTACTTGATCAATGGAGGAAAGCTGGCCCACAATGAAATAAAAGGGAGGTTACTGCATGTACAAAAAAAATACAGTGGAACTCTCTAGTGTTTGGCCTGCAATGGGATAAGGATTCTTTAAATGATTTTTTTTTATTGCAGTGAGATATGTATGTCACATGACTAAAACTTGTCAGACAGCAGATGTATGTGACACCTTTCCTCTGTTCTAGATATGTTGTGTGTTGACCATGGTGTGGATGAAAATGAATGTATGCGGGAACTCGGGCACACAAACGATACATTCCCGTCAGATATTGGTAAGTCTCATACTAAAACACCACATGGACAATGTACCTAGTACATTGCTGTTGTCTGTTTATCAGTCTGAAAATCCAACACTTCATGAACAATGGGTTAATAGAATCTTCCCGAACCTTGAGGGTGTGACAGAAAATCTCAAACCAGAGGGACGTTTGTTTTTGTAAACCAATTTAAAACCCAGATGTTTGGAAGTTTCTGTTACATCCTCAAGGTAGGGAAAGATTTATTTTTCTCCCCTCCTGTTATTTCAGTCACAGCTCCACCGTCAGTAGTCTGCCAGGTTTGAATAACGCTATTCACTTTTTATCATATCACAATTTAGCGTGTGCTGTTCTGCATGAGGCCATCTCCCCCAAGGGGTTGTACCGGCTGTGTCTGTGAAGGCAGGGAGAAATTTCTTTTCTACACTCTTGTATTGCAGTCGATATATTTGTCCTACAGCCTTAGAAATGGGACAAAATCTTTAGGTGCATGACATGATTTTTACTACATGTATTTTATGTATGTAACTGAAGGTATAGATATAATGTTGAATTTGAGACAGGATTATATGGAATCCCCAAGTAAGCAGTGCCAACTTGCCTTATTCCTTTAATTTTTTCAATAATTTGATCTGGAAAAAAAAATTGATTGAAGAAAAACAAATTATATATTCCGACCTACATTTCATAATTTCAAGACAGGGACTCGGCAAGCATTATCACTTATATCAGATTTGAACCATAGGGCGCCATCTGGCATACATGTAATATCCCTATACCACATTGCCATTGGGCATACATGTAATACCCCTATACCACATTGCCATCGGGCGTACATGTAATATCCCCATACCACATTGCCATCGGGCATACATGTAATATCCCTATACCACATTGCCATTGGGCATACATGTTATACCCCTATACCACATTGCCATCGGTCATACATGTAATACCCATATACCATTTGCCATTGGGCATACACGTAATACCCCTATACCACATTGCCATTGGGCATACATGTAATACTCCCATACCACATTTTCATCGGGCATACATGTAATACCCCTATACCACATTGCCATCGGGCATACATGCAAAACCCCTATACCACATTGCCATCGGGCATACATGTAATCCCCCTATACCACATTGCCATCGGGCATACATGTTATACCCCTATACCACATTGCCATCGGGCATACATGCAAAACCCCTATACCACATTGCCATCGGGCATACATGTAATCCCCCTATACCACATTGCCATCGGGCATACATGTAAAACCCCTATACCACATTGCCATCGGGCATAAATGTAATACCCCTATACCACATTGCCATCGGGCAAACATGTAATACCCCTATACCACATTGCCATCGGGCATAAATGTAAAACCCCTATACCACATTGCCATCGGGCATACATGTAAAACCCCTATACCACATTGCCATCGGGCATAAATGCAAAACCCCTATACCACATTGCCATCGGGCATACATGTAATACCCCTATACCACATTGCCATCGGGCATACATGTAATATCCCTATACCACATTGCCGTTAGGGTTATCTTGTATACAATCCTGGCACAGTTCTTTTGTACTGTATATAACTCTAGATCATCTCGTTCCAATCTCATTTCTTTACATAGGAGCAGGGTTTTCTGATGACTTAAAAAAGAAAATGACATTATATCTAGTAAGTATACACTATGATTATATCCCTTATGGCAGGCTAATATTTTCGCGGTTGTCACGATCAAGCTTGTTCGTGACGATTAAATATTGCGCTCACAAGGGTTGTTTTGTATTTGGGCAATGGGATTTATTTCACAATTGTTTTATTGATATAACGTAAAATAATGATGTTGTTGTTCTATCTTCATTATTCGGCATTCGGATGCTTTCTATTATCCCCTTCGTGGTGTCAATATTCACTGGCTAATTTCGCGCTATCCTTGGTGACTGTGAATATAGCGAAAATTACCCACTATACAGTACTACGAGTGGTGTTAATTTATCTATTGTATTGATTGATGTATATTACAGTATGCGTACAAGTTGCGGACAACCAAAAATTTCAATGCATTACTAGATTTGACAAGATGAGTACATTGTGGCATCGGCATACCCACAAAATATGTGATAGAAACAATGTACAGGCACTTTGAATAAATCAAAGTTTAGCGCAATATTTAAAGTACGAAAAGCAGTAAAATACGACTATCGCTCACATTTACAAAGGTTTACAGTATAATGATTTATACATTGTGTTAATTGATAAATAGAGTGATAAAGGTATTGGCTGGTATTTTGAATTGTTTGATATATTTAATTTTACACAGTAATGTTGTAACTTGTGCCCAATCACTTTGACTTAAGTGATTTTAGTTTTTAATGGGGAGATTCTCTTTCCATCCAGGCAACCAAGCACCTGAAGAACTTTGATACAACCCACTGTACACCGTTACCCCATGACAGGTTTGAAGAGCCCTGGCGAGCAAGACCACACAATATGTAAACCAGGTGACACACCCAACTCCAGGGGTGGGGTTCATCGTTATGTCGAGGAGTGAAGCTGATAGAAGAATGTGTTTAATTGCATGTTATATCAGCACCTAAAATGTCCATGAACTTTTAAATGATTTTTTTTTTCTCACATTTTATCGTGTCTAGGAAATTTAGGGAGAACACATGTAATGTTTTGTCTCAATCTATCATTACTGCTTTGATTTTTCTGAAGGATAATATGAAACTGTTGCAAGCAACTGCTGAACCTGAACAAATTTCTGCTGTCATTTTAATGTCTTTACCTATTTATTACTGTGTACAAGCAATTATTAAGATTTTATAAATACCTAATAATGCTTTTCTGGTGGTACATGAACAAGTATCTGATTACACTGAATTGGTTTATATCATCTAGTACACAGTTTGTACCTCTACTGGTACACAGATTGTACCTCTACTAGTAAACAGCTTGTACCTCTATTGGTACACAGTTTGTACCTCTACTGGTACACAGCTTGTACCTCTACTAGTAAACAGCTTGTACCTCTACTGGTAAACAGCTTGTACCTCTACTGGTACACAGCTTGTATCTCTATTGGTACACAGCTTATTTCTCTACTGGTACACATCTTTTACCTCTCCTGGTACACAGCTTATATCTCTACTGGTACACATCTTTTACCTCTCCTGGTACACAGCTTGTATCTCTACTGGTACACAGCTTGTACCTCTACTGGTACACAGCTTGTACCTCTACTGGTACACAGCTTGTATCTCTACTGATATACACAGCTTGTATCTCTACTGATATACACAGCTTGTATCTCTATTGGTACACAGCTTATATCTCGACTGATATACACAGCTTGTATCTCTACCAATATACACCTTGTATATCTACTAGTACACAGCTTGTATGTCTACTGGTACACAACTTGTACCTTTATTCGTGCACAGCTTGTGCTTCACTTTTAAACAGTTTTATCTCTACTAGTACATAACTTGTATCTGTACTGGTCTAAAGTTTGTATTGGTACACACCTATTTGACAGAGTATGATTTTGAAAGAGTAGACTGTGGTCTATTCCACTGACTTGTGAGAATGTATACTATAAATATCACAGATCGATTATGTGTGTATATGTTGTTCATTGAATGAAAGAACTAGTCCTGTACTGGTGATGTCAATTAATGCCCCCAGGGTAATTATGCTTTGTTGTGGAGTTCATAGGTCATAGTGTGAACTTCCTTATAGTAAAACCATTAACATCATTAATTATATAAGTGGTTATGTGATGAAACAAATTAAAATACTTGTCCTAAATTATTAATGTTGTATACTGTTGTTATATGGTTGGATACATGAACAATGAAATTTCTATGCCTGCAAAATATGAAACCAAAAAAGGCACAAATCAGAGAGTGAAATTACTTACAGTGAAACCTGTAGACATGTTTTGTATTTATTACTGTGCTTTATCCATCATTCCAACCTCACCTGGGACTCGCACTGTGTCCACTTCTTGACTATTGATTGACCATTGTTATAAAATAACTTAATTTTCATTGACTATATTACTCAGAAACCAATGCCTTTTAGATTTTATAAAATTCGCTTTGTGTCCACTGCAATCCCACCCCATGAACGGAGTACACATTTTCTTATTGTTCAAATCATTTTGATGGTAGCTTGTTCACTTTTGATATAATAGTAAGAATGTTTTGTCTCGCATACATAATTGTTGGTATATTCACTTTCCCTGAATCAACAATTTGTACAGAAGAGTTGGACTAAGGAGCAGAGAGACTTAAGTATTGATATTACTGTAGAAATTTCTGTCAGTAGCTTTTAAACTTTTATTTTACAACAATTATGAAACGGGTTACAAAGTTATAGTAATCAGCCTTGTTGGCCCGGATAGAGGTGCGCAGGGAGTGTTGATATGGGAGAAGGACAGGGTACTCCGAGAAAACCCAGATGGTCTAGAGTGGCAGATAACTTAATGGGTTTTTTCCCACATGCAATTGGGGAATCGAACCCGGGCCGTTTTATGTGAAAGGCAAGTGTGCTAATCATTGAATCACCTGACCACCCAAGTCTGTAATTCCACTTCATTGTGATGGCTGATTTACATGGTTTGAGGTATTTGTGGACGACTTAGATGCCTTGTACTCTGCTGTTGTCGTGTAAATACAGATATAAGTAACGGTTTATGTTGCCACTTTGTATCACTTAGTCATTAAACTTTGTCTACTTGAGATTTTTATATACCTTTATGGAAAATCAGGATCATAAAATGACTAATAAACAAATTTAACTGGAATCAATGTTTCTTTGTTTTCATACCAAATACTGAAATTCAATTGGTATATGGCAGATTTTAATTGTACATGGGATTACGGTCGCCTTCTAGCTTCCATCTAGAGAGAATTTCCGTTCAGCTCAGTGGTAGATCGTCTGACTAGGAAGTCTGGGATCGCGGGTTTGATCCCTCTTGGAAGCACACGACTCTCTTTCCTGTTACAAACGACGGTGTCTGGGGGGCCCTCCCTGTGGTGACGGGGAGTTAGGACCTGGGTTGTGGCGTTCAAGGAGAACACATTTAAAAAGGGGGCAGTAGTGTGGCAGATTTTAATTGTACATAGGATAACAGTCGCTTTCTAGCTTTGCGCTGGAGGGAATGTCCCTTCAGCTCAGTGGTAAAGCGTCCGACTAGGGAGATTGGGATCGCGTGTAGGGGACATTAATGACCTTAAAATAGATCCTTAGTTGCCCCTCTTCATATGACCGTAGCAAATATAACCCAAACAAATATACTACATCCTAGAATGTCACAGCACACCTGGATATGGTCAGGATATACAAGTAGTAACAATATTACTGTGTGTAACTTGCTACATACTGAACAAATGTAGGTCTAGTCAAGCTTTCCAGTGAAGATTACAGTGGACTATCTCAAAGGTCACAAAATGACATTAGACAAAACTCTAAAAATCCATTACAATGTTTTATTTAAAAATTAAAATATTTGGTAATTAAATATTATCTGTGTAGCATATACATAAAAGATAAATGCATTCTTTAACAAGTCTTTATATGGAAACTAAAGTTTGAGCCAGTGTGAAGTTTAACCATTGAGGATAAGAATTAATACCAGTTATAAGCAATTTAGCCAGAAAACTCCAGAAGTATATCATATTGTAATCTATGGCAACCAGAAAATAAGAGGTCACCTTAGTAACCAACAGTAGACCAGGAGGATACCATGGTAACCAATAAATCTGGAGTATGTATCGTAACTGACCATAACAAATAATGAGAAACCATGGTATGGTAACTGACAGTAATCATTGAACCATGAGACCATGGTAACCAACAGTAACCAGTAAATCAGGAATACAACATGGTAACCTGATCAGGAACAGCTGGGAAACCAAAAGTAACCAGCAAATCAGGAGTGCATGGTAACCTGATCAGGAACGGCAGTGAAACCAACAGTAACCAGCAACTCAGGAGTGCATGGTAACCTGATAAGGAACGGCAGGGAAACCAACAAGAACCAGCAAATCGGGAGGGCATGGTAACCTGATCAGGAACAGATGGGAAACCAAAAGTAACCAGCAAATCAGGAGGGCATGGGAACCTGATCAGGAACAGCAGGGGAACCAATAGTAACCAGTAAATCAAGAGTGCATGGTAACCTAATCAGGAACAGCAGGGAAACCAGCAGTAACCAGCAAATCAGGACTGCATGGTAACCTGATCAGGATCAGCAGGGGAACCAATAGTAACCAGTAAATCAAGAGTGCATGGTAACCTAATCAGGAACAGCAGGGAAACCAAAAGTAACCAGCAAATCAGGAGGGCATGGGAACCTGATCAGGAACAGCAGGGGAACCAATAGTAACCAGTAAATCAGGAGGGCATGGTAACCTGATCAGGAACGGCAGGGAAACCAAAAGTAACCAGCAAATCAGGAGTCCATGGTAACCTGATCAGGAACAGCTGGGAAAACAACAGTAACCAGCAAATCAGGGGTGCATGGTAACCTGATCAGGATCAGCAGGGGAACCAATAGTAACCAGTAAATCAGGAGGGCATGGTAACCTGATCAGGAACAGATGGGAAACCAAAAGTAACCAGCAAATCAGGAGGGCATGGGAACCTGATCAGGAACAGCAGGGAAACCAAAAGTAACCAGCAAATCAGGAGTGCATGGTAACCTGATCAGGAACAGCAGGGGAACCAATAGTAACCAGTAAATCAGGAGTGCATGGTAACCAAGTCGAGACTAGATCAAATCATGTTAAATAATTTTCAGCTTCTTGATAGTGTCTTACAAAAGTTGTGAAAATATACTTAAAAATAAAATAGATTTTAATTTTCTAATTATGTACACTTCGGATTTGCTTGCTGCATAATATTTGTTCTATAAAAACATGAGATGATTACTGAGAGACACATCAAAATTTCAGAGTTTTGACACAGAAAAATAGTTGATGGTTGAAAGTATGAACATGGACTTGGCCATCATGCTTCGTCAAATGATCCAATGATATCAAACAAATGTAGGATGTACAACCACCGTCTTGTAATGTTAATGTCATAATATTTGTAAGTGATGATGTAATTCACAGCACATAAGAATACAAAGTAAATATGTTAATTGCTGTATACCGAGGAAATTTCGCCCAGTCTAATATTCGCCCTTTAATGGTAAAATCTCTATTCCCCCGGAGTAAACTTCGCCCTTTAATGGTAAAATCTCTATTCCCCCGGAGTAAACTTCGCCCTTTAATGGTAAAATCTCTATTCCCATGGAGTAAACTTCGCCCTTTAATGGTAAAATCTCTATTCCCCCGGAGTAAACTTCGCCCTTTAATGGTAAAATCTCTATTCCCCCGGAGTAAACTTCGCCCTTTAATGGTAAAATCTCTATTCCCATGGAGTAAACTTTGCCCTTTAATGGTAAAATCTCTATTCCCCTGGACTAAACTTCGCCCTTTAATGGTAAAATCTCTATTCCCCCAGAATCTTCACCCTTTAATGGTAAAATCTCTATTCCCCCGGAGTAAACTTCGCCCTTTAATGGTAAAATCTCTATTCCCCTGGAGTAAACTTCGCCTTCACATGTACCCGGTACTTTATTTCTATGTGGAGTAAACTGTGTACAAATATTCGTTACAATAAATTTGCCCTTTATAGCAAAGGGCAAAAAATAAACTGCAGCGAAAATTTTCCGGTATACAGCTTACAAGTTTAACAACTAACATGATGTTCTCCAATCTAATTTATATATATGGGACATTCAATTCTAAAAACATTGAAATCTGATATAGAAATATAACAATAGACCAATATACTGTACTAATTTATTCACTATACACTAGGCAAAGCAGTGTCTGGTAAAACAAAATTATACTGGGTTGAAACAAAATATCACAGGCAAATATTTCTATAAGGCCTTTCACCACTGTAGACCATAATAGACTCATCTGGATCATTGCACGGTAGAGTCTACTAAAGTTACGTAGGGGTGAAAGGGTTAAAGTTTTAAATAAAGTGGAGGTAAAGGATTTACCATATCCTAAGGGTTGAGATTTCTAGCTCTGTATCATATGGAATTTATGTCAGTTGTCGATTTCAATCAAATTCCAAGGAAGAGGCTAGAGAAAATGAGTCAATCATTATATAGAGTGTAGCTACGGAGGATGGGAAAGTTCTATCCTCAGGTGTAGAGTTAGGACTCAATCTCAGCACAGCCTTGGCTCTGACCCAAACTCAATCTCAGCACAGCCTTGGCTCTGACCCTTATTCTACATCCTTGAGAGCAGAATTTCCCTATCCTTTATGCCAGCATAAACATGATAGATTTAATCAGGAATACAAAGGGTAAGGTTAAAACTCCTATATCTAGGCCTGTATTCAGAAAACCACATACATGCTTCAGCATGAATTTTGTTCTTCAGCCAACTTTCTTGTAACTCATTGAAATCATGTACATTTATATAGAAATTGATTCTGGTCTCGGTTCACGTAAATCATTGAAAAAGTGATAGTTTAATTAAGTATTCGGCTTGAGCATGATTTTCATGTACACAGCAGGCCCAGATATCTCCATCAATGACATAAGAAAATACCAGTTTCAGTGATTACACAGACTTTTTGATTTCAAAGCATTACACGAGTATCTCCCACACACCTTCAGGTTCTCCAACACGAGTACCTCCCACACACCTTCAGATTCTCCGACACGAGTATCTCCCACACACCTCAGGTTCTCCAACAAGAGTATCTCCCACACACCTTCAGATTCTCCAACACGAGTATCTCCAACACACCTTCAGATTCTCCAACACGAGTATCTCCCGCACACCTTCAGGTTCTCCAACACGATTATCTCCCACACACCTTCAGGTTCGCCAACACGAGTATCTCCCACACACCTCATGCTCCTCCAACACGAGTATCTCCCACACGCCTTCAGGTTCTCCAACAAGAGTATCGCCCACACACCTTCAGGTTCTCCAACACGAGAATCTCCCACACACCTTCAGATTCTCCAACACGAGTATCTCCCACACACCTTCAGATTCTCCAACATATTTACAGCTACAACTCTTACTTCAATGTATTAATTAACTCAGAAACATTCACTGCTACAATTCATACACTCCTTTCTATAAAACATTAACTGTTTAACAATTTTAAATTCCTTGTCATAAGAAAAACACAATTCACTCTAAAAAGTCTTGACTTTCCTGTCTAAAATTATGAAAAATTCACTCTTACAAATCTTACTTCCTTGTCTTAATCATAAAACAGTCACTCATTTATTAAAACAAGGTTGATTCACATGTATATTTTCAGGAATGTAATGAAATACCTTGCATGTATGACAGAAGCACATATTAGTTTTGATATGTTATTATTTATTTGTCATGAAATTAAAAACTGTGCAGGTTTTAGCTCAGTCCTGTATATGTTCAGCACAGACCTAGTCTAAGTGAGTTAGCTTACTGCAGATTATTTCTGTGCCACCTGAACTGTTTCAACCAGAATAAATGAAAGCAACCTTAATTATAACACAATCACTCTTACAATGTTTACTCCCATGTCTATAAAAAATTCACTCTTACAATTCCAATTTCCATGTCTTACCTATTACAAAATGGTACCCTTTTTTTCAGATTCTTGTACCTTTTAAACATTTTGAAATATAATGATATTTTCATAGATTTTGGAAACTACCACCAATATTTGGTAGGGAAACCACACATATTTGACAGTAGAATAGCAATTCTCTAAATACAATTTGCTGTCTGAATGTAAGATGTAACCCTGTCTAACTATATAAATGGCAGCCATCTAGACCCACCTTGTTTCACCAGACAACAGATTTTTAACTTGAGTACCGGGGTATGTACCATCTACAGTCTATGTATTTTGATACAGCCTATAACTGAGCCTCACTCTGGGACCAGATGTACTACTCAGATGTGTTTGTTGCCTCCCATCTGTCCAAAAGTCAGACCAAAATCCACAGGAAATACTGATCTTTATAAATTGACAGGGTTCTGCAGATAATTTATACAATAATAATTATTGTTCTAATTTTGTATAAACATTCTGCTGCCAAAGTCGACCATGAGACTTATGTAGAAGTATTCCTACATCATGTTGATAAGTCTACTTAGGAATGATATGGCATACTGAAATCTGTTGGAATGATTCCAGTTTGGACTCTATACAAAGACTATCGTGTCCTATTTGCCTTCTCCACTTGGTCCCATCTCATGATAGTTGCTGCTTTGTGCACGTTTCAGGTCACGCTTGATGACAAAGAAGACCAGGATGTAGACAAGAGCTCCGTAAATGTAAGGTCCAGGGTACAGGATGTAGAGTGTGGCTGGAATAGAATAGAGGGTCAAAGGTCACATAAACAATGGAAGAGGTTAATATCACAAACCATACCTCAAGGTCACCAAAACCATGAGGTCACATTGACAATTTACAATGAAAAGGTCATCTTTTTTTTACTGTTGTACCTACTATATTTATACCAACAACCCATAATGAAAAGAAGGTCATGGGCTGAAACAGTCAAATATGTTGTACTACAGTAATTTTATGTTGTTGAGATGTGAACTGAAATAGTGATGGAGGAAAAGCAAGAAAATTTGTTACCAATCTTGCAAACAACAAAAACACACTAATTCAAATAATTACACTGTTAATAAGAATAATAGTTTTTTTTATGGCATTTTTCTCTATATAGTTTTGTTTGTTTAGTAAATTAGGATTCATTCTGAAAGCCAAAATAAAGGTGAAATCAATGGGCAGGAGGTTCACAAGTTTTGTGATAGTTCATTACCTATAGACTTCAATAATCATGCTTCATATTTGTTTCCTATTCCTTTCCATATAGATACCCCAAAGCATTATTTCCATGTAAACCATCTGATCCATGGCCTCCACTGGGGCCCAGGAACCTTGGATCAAGGTTTCAAATTTGCAGCCATGTGAATATGGCTGCAACAGCTGTCATATTGGGTTTTTTTACGAACCAAAACGACACTAGCATTTTGTCAGGACCTTCATTAGATCATTCCATGCAAGTCTGGTTTGATCCACAATTTAATTTAAAAGTTGAGAAAAACTAGTTCAAAGTAGTTCTCCAAAATAGCAGCTTTGGCAGACATATTGGATTTCTGATTTTGACTGAAAAGTAAACAATTGTTGTAATTCTTGGTAGATCATTCCTACCAAGGTTAAGTTAAATTAGCCCATTAGAATTTGAGTTTAATTTTGAAATAGTTTGTTCAAAATGACAGCTGTTGCAGCCATATTGGATTTCTGATTGGCCCGAAAATAACATTTCCTCACGATGATGGCAGAAAATAAATAAGTAACCTTCTAAGTAAATATCAATAAAATCTCTTCTGTAGTAAATTGATTACAGCTATAATGTAAAACATTCACAGAGGAAAGACAAAGAATGACGAAGGACAAGAAAGGATTGCAATAGGGCTTACCTCTCCACGCCTCAGACTTGCTGTATTCGGCAGATTCAAATGCGTCCCGTATACTGGGTATGAGGAGCTGAACATTGCCGCCAATGTTTGTGATAATAAACAGGTAGAGGGCGATACCTGTCGTCCTGATATCAACAGGCATCAGCTCCACGATGACAGCTAACGTGATACCAATCCACATCTCACCTGTGAAGGTCAAAAGTCACATCTAGGTCAAAAATCGAAATCTAGTGGGAAAGATGATGGTACAGTAATATCATTGAAAAAGGTAGATAATCAGTAAGTATCATGCAAGATTAAACAAACATATCTAGAACAAAAGTATTTAAATAGGTAATCTTTAGTTAACTAACACAAGAGGCCTTAACAGCTCACCTGCTATAGTTTTTATATGAAACAGACAAATGGGGCCACAACCTTCATTTAAACACAAGAGGCCCAATGGGTCTGCATCGCTCACCTGGTATAAATCTTACACTTGTAACCTTAAAAGTGATCTAAAATAAAGCTACAGGCAAAATATCAGTATTTATGATTAAAAGTAATTCAAAAGAACCTGTTTAAAGATTAAAAAACATTTCACCCCTGTGACCTTGAAAGGTCATTATGTTGAACAAATTTTATAGCCCTTCATCTCAGGATGCAACTTGCAAAATAACACCACCCTATCCTTTTTGTTTATTGAAATTAGGTCATTTAAATGTTTATACATATTTGACCAAATGTGAACTTGAAAGTGGGTCAAGGTCATTCATTTGAAAAAGCTTGGTAGTCCTTCATCCTAGCATGCTACTGGCTAAATATCATTCTGGGCCTCATGGTTAATCAGAAGAAGTTGTTTAAAGATTTTAACATATTTGACCCCTGTGACCTAAAATATGGGTGAAGGTCATTTATTTGAACAAACTTGATAGCCTTTCATCCCAGCAATCTACTGAACAATGTCGCCATACTTGTCCTTTTGGTTATTCAGAAGAAGTTGCTTAAAGTTTTTAACATATTTGACCCCTGTGACTTTGAAAATAGGTGAAGGTCATTTATTTGAACAAATTTGGTAGCCCTTTATCCCAGTTTGCTTCTGGCTAAATATCAATACCCTAGGCCTTTTGGTTATTAAGAAGAAGAGGCCTTTTGGTTATTTAATAAGAAGAAGTTGTTTAAAGTAAAATATTGACAATGGACGTCGCACCACGGCATAAGCTCCCCGGCCGCAAAAATTGATTTCCCTAAGCCTAGCAATGCTCCCAGCCAAGTTTTGTTAAAATTCATTTAGCCATTCAGGACTAGTTAAGCATTTTAGTGAAATGTTGACAGATGGACGACAGTGAGCATCACAGCATAATCTCACTTGCCCTTTGGGCAGGTGAGCTAATAATATAATAGAGTCAAACCAGTATTAGCAGACCATCCTTGAGAAGTCTAAAAGGTGGCCTCTTATACAGGTTCAGAGCACAATTAAATTACTACAATGTGGGAAAATTTCAAGTGGTCTCTTTATCACAGGTGGTCTTTTAATAGAGGTGGTCTTGTGAGCAGGCTTGACTGTATAGTGACCTTAGTAGGTTTACAATGTACAGAGAGAACACACATACAGTATCTGATAGCATTCCTAATCCTTTGTGTCACAAATTCGACTGAAAGCCTTGTCTCACAATGTTAAGTAGTCAAGGCCAAAGTGATATTTATGATTAATGTATTTCTGAACTCTAACTAGATGAAGTGAGAGTTACCAAATAAGTAAGTAGGTATCTGGAAGGCAAAGGCAGCAGGTGGGTCAAAGTAGAGGGTGCCAGCTGCAAAAGGTGACGCTATGATCTACAATAAAACACAAAACTTTTACAGATTTACGAAAAGCTACGATTAGCCTCTCAGCACCACTACGATCCCCAATGGATTCAGAGCTCCTATAAATGTTGGATTAATACTCTACATGGGGAACATTTTGCCATTTACTGATAAAATCCATGTTCACCTTGTGTTAATTTTGCCCTTTACTGATAAAATCCACGTTTGTCTTGTGTTGATTTTGCCCTTTACTGATAAAATCCATGTTCGTCTTGTGTTGATTTTGCCCTTTACTGATAAAATCCATGTTCACCTTGTGTTAATTTTGCCCTTTACTGTTAAAATCCATATTGGCCTTGTGTTAATTTCGCCCTTTACTGATAAAATCCATGTTCACCTTGTGTTCATTTTGCCCTTTACTGATAAAATCCATGGTCGCCCTGTGTTAATTTTCCCCTTTACTGATAAAATCCATGTTTGCCTTGTGTTAATTTTGCCCTTTAATGATATAATCCATGTTCGCCTTGTGTTAATTTTGCCCTTTACTGATAAAATCCATGTTCGTCTTGTGTTGATTTTGCCCTTTACTGATAAAATCCATGTTCGCCTTGTGTTAATTTCGCTCTTTACTGATAAAATCCATGTTCGCCTTGTGTTAATTTCGCTCTTAACTGATAAAATCCATGGTCGCCCTGTGTTAATTTCGCTCTTTACTGATAAAATCCATGGTCGCCCTGTGTTAATTTCGCCCTTTACTGATAAAATCCATGTTCGCCCTGTGTTAATTTTGCCCTTTACTGATAAATTCCACATTCGCCTTGTGTTAATTTCGCCCTCTATGTTTCACTCCTATATATGGTATGTTTGTACTGATATTTCCTGTCATGGTAAATTCTAAACAGGTAAAACTTTAACCGCATTGAAAATTTCCCAGCAGAATTTTTCCTTGGTGTGAGTTATAAATAAAGCGATTCAATACGGAGGGATAGAAATAACGAACAAAAACCTGCTACTCACAAGTAACTAATGAGCTAAACCAAAATTTGAAGAACTACATTTATCACTTGAAGTAGAACTCAAGGAAAGATTTTCTATCAATATATTAACTGTCATTTTCTTTTGAGTCCAGGACAAGTCCTGTAAACGAAGCTGATTTTATATTTATAGTAACACTGACCTTATATATTTATAGAAACACTGACCTTTAACCCTTGGACTTTTCAACGAATTCCTATTATGTATATAGCAACGTATATACATTTGGCAAGGAAATTGTTTGTGAAGTTTCATTTTGGTTGACCTAGTATAACTTTAAATGTTGTCCTATGAAAACTGACAGATAGATGGACAGACGGACAGACTTCCTTACAAATTATCTCCAATCTTCTATACCAGGATCAGTAAGTGTATGGCATCTTTCAATATGTGATGAAAAGTTTGCATTTTATGTAAAAAAAAAAACAACTTTTTTTGCTATTTCACTATCTTACTAATAAAGCAAAGATTAAATACTCATGATATTAACTTATGTAAGCAATACATAAAACTCCAAGAATGTGAAAACTAGCCTCTGCTACTTCCGTATAAATCTACATAAACAATAATATCCTGTATTTCAAGAAAAACACCTACCAGGCTTATAAATATAATAGATATTCTGCCATACAATCCTCGTTTCTTGACGACTCGGTCGGCAATAAAACCTCCGACCAGTACGCTAAGACTACCGCCTACGAGCGGTATCCATGACATCCAGGTACCAATCTGTTCCTTCGTCTGACCAATCAGAGTGAAGTATGGCTGTGTACTGTAGGCAAACACATATCCCGCTGAAATATAATACAGGATTAATCATTACAGGAACATTATAAAGACATTTCATGTGATATTTTGGCAGTATGATTCAAACAGATTATATACAGTAAAACCTCGATTTAATGCCCCTTGTTTCATTTTTGCACCTTGCTTACTGTCAATATTTTTCACAGTCCATATTTCTTGTAAGTATAGTTTTCTTGAAATTCCTTAATATACTATAAAACTCCAATCAGATCAAGCAAATATAAATAAATATTGTCAATCCTGTTCGAAACATGAAATTAAAGCTGCTAAAATAAAGAGTAGTTCAACATAAGCAAAAATCTCGAGTATTGATGGAAGTATATGTTTCGCTCCTTAATACAGCCAAATTTGTTCTGGACAAATGGTAACAGTCATAATAATGAGGTTACACTGCATACAGTTGTGTATTACTAACTCAAGCTACTTATAATTGGATTGCTCTGCCCTCCATTTGGTGTGTTTTAGGATGAGTTATTCTTTCAGATTTCTCCATGATAATTCAGCTGTTTTACCATGTAGATTATTAACTAGGCACCATTGTGTGGTATTGTAGACTATAACATTACATACCTACATTATAACATCATATTACTGTGGTATTGTAGGCTATAACATTACATACCTACATTATAACATCATATTACTGTGGGATTGAAGACTATAACACTTCATATCTACAGTATAACATCATATTACTGTGGGATTGAAGACTATAACACTTCATATCTACAGTATAACATCATATTACCGTTGTATTGAAGACTATAACATTAATAACACTTCATACCTACAGTATAATATCATATTACCGTGGTATTGTAGACCATAACATTACATACCTACAGTGTAACATCATATTACTGTGGTATTGAAGACTATAACACTTCATACCTACAGTATAACATCATATTACTGTGGTATTGAAGAAAATAACATTACATACCTACAGTATAACATCATATAACTGTGGTGTTGAAGACTATAACATTACGTACCTACAGTATAACATCATCTTACTGTGGTATTGAAGACTATGACACTTCATACCTACAGTATAACATAATATTACTGTGGTATTGAAGACTATGACACTTCATACCTACAGTATAACATCGTATTACTGTGGTATTGAAGTCTATAACATTACATACCTACAGTTTAACATCATATTACTGTGGGATTGAAGACTATAACATTACGTACCTACAGTATAACATCATGTTACCGTGGTATTGAAGACCATAACATTACATACCTACATTATAACATCATATTACTGTGGGATTGAAGACTATAACATTAATAACACTTCATACCTACAGTATAACATCGTATTACTGTGGTATTGAAGGCTATAACATTTCAATTTACATACCTACAGTATAACATCACATTACCGTGGTATTGAAGACAATTACATTACATACCTACAGTATGACATCATATTACCGTGGTATCGAAGACTATAACATTACATCCCTACAGTATAACATCATATAAGCGTGGAATTGTAGGCTATAACATTAAATACCTTCAGCATAACATCATATTACTGAGGTATTGAAGACTATAACACTATATACCTACAGTATAACATCGTATTACTGTGGTATTGAAGACTATGACACTTCATACCTACAGTATAACATCGTATTACTGTGGTATTGAAGAAAATAACATTACATGCCTACAGTATAACATCATATAACTGTGGTGTTGAAGACTATAACATTACATCCCTACAGTATAACATCATATCACCGTGGTATTGTAGACTATTACACTACATACCTACAGTATAACACCATATTACTGTGGTATTGAAGTCTATAACATTACATACCTACAATATAACATCATATTACCGTGGCATTGAAGACTATAACATTAATAACACTTCATACCTACAGTATAACATCACATTACCGTGGTATTGAAGACTATTACACTACATACCTACAGTATAACACCATATTACTGTGGTATTGAAGTCTATAACAATACATACCTACAGTATAACACCATATTACTGTGGTATTGAAGAAAATAACATTACATTCCTACAGTATAACATCATAGTACCGTGGTATTGAAGACTATTACACTACATACCTACAGTATAACATCGTATTACTGTGGTATTGAAGGCTATAACATTTCAATTTACATACCTACAGTATACCATCATATTACCGTGGTATTGTGGACTATAACATTAAATACCTACAGTATAACATCGTATTACTGTGGTATTGAAGACAATACTTCATACCTACAGTATAACATCGTATTACTGTGGTATTGAAGTCTATAACATTACATACCTACAGCATAACATCATATTACTGTGTTATTGAAGACTATAACATTACATACCTGCAGTATAACATCATATTACCATAGAGCTACACAATACAGACTATTTCCTCCCACGCATTCCTGATAGATCCTGCCAGGCAGATCAGAAGCACTGCAGGTCTGATAAAATACCTGGCGAGTTTTTTAATTTTTTCCCCAGCTCTATAACATTACATACCTACTGTATAACATCATATTACCGTGGGATTGAAGACTATAACATTACATCCCTACAGTATAACATCATATAAGCGTGGAATTGTAGGCTATAACATTAAATACCTTCAGCATAACATCATATTACTGAGGTATTGAAGACAATAACATTACATCCCTACAGTATAACATCATAGTACCGTGGTATTGAAGACTATTACACTACATACCTACAGTATAACATCATATTACCATAGAGCTACACAATACAGACTATTTACTCACATGCATTCCTGATAGATCCTGCCAGGCAGATCAGAAGCACTGAAGGTCTGATAAAATACCTGGCGAGTTTTTTAATTTTTTCCCCAGCTGTTAACTCTATTACAGGAGTTTTATCATCTCCTTTGCTGGTGTCTCTTTGCCTTTCTGGCTCTTTCAGAGCTATGAATATAACAACTCCAAGGATAATTCCTGGAGCTCCAGACAGGAAAAAGGACCATCTCCATCCCTTTGAGGAAAAAATGAAAGACAAATATTAACTTACACTTTCCTCTGAGGAGGGGCATCCTCGATATCCAGGGGTTACGCTCACTTTCACTCTCTGCACCCCTGGAATATGTCATAGCAAAATTGAAGGCACGAAGATAGTTGTTTGATTGGTCTCAGGTAAAAAAAACTGACCAATCGCTAGACTGATACCTGTCCTTTGAAGATTACAAAGGAGAGACGCCCGACTTCAAAGCCTGTCAATTTTTACCATTACGTGACCGCGAGATTCTTTTGATGTACATCAAAGGATCGAACTAGTCTTCTCTTCTGGTCCATAAGGTGCTGCACATTTAGCCTTCAATTTTGCTACGACATATTGCAGGGGTGCAGAGAGCTAAAGTGAGCGTAACCCCTGGATATCGAGGATGTCTAGGGGGTGACAGAAATAACTTAAACAGGAAACCGGGAGACAACTCTTGAGACAATAAGGAGAGAATTTTTATTCCCAATCAATAAATGTGGTGACTTCTTTTGCATGTTTTGTTTTAGAAGTCGCACTTGTCACACTCACCTGGCCGTTGATGTTGGCCAGTGTAACAAAGTTACCAAAGGCGTAGGCTAGGCTGTACCCCATATAGATACCCCAGTTGTAGATTCCTATAGCCAGTCCTCGTGTCTCTGGCGTGAAGTAGTCGGCTATAATGGAGGCAGCAAACGGAGTACATCCAGCTTCCCTGAAAAAGTCACGACCAAATTTTTGTGGTTTCAACTTAATGAGTAATATTTTATACTTCTTTCTAAAACAGCAGCCGAAACTCTTTTCCTGTGTCTCATAAATGATTTTCAAAGTTTCGTGATTAGAATTTGAATGAACAATAATGAATTACCTATACAAATGCATTACATTTCCTAACAAATGTTAAGAAAAGGTCACCCCAAAAAAACTTCCTCAGTCCTTGTTCCATTTCAAAATCAAGGGCCAGGGTCTCAAGATCCATATTTTCTATACCCGCTTGGAATATTTAAATGGTGTGTTACTGCCCCATTCCTTTCATCTTCACCATAGACATCAGACTAGTGAACTCGTACCATCTGCAAGGTGGCGCACATGGAGCCTTCAGTTTTTTGTCATGACATATTTCAAGGGTGTAGAAAAGATATGTATATCAAGGCCGGAACCGTTGAATTTTGAAGATGTCCCTGTTCATCCCATTATACAACTCACCCCAGGCCCTGGCCGAAGCGGAGAAGTGCCAACTGCCAGTAGTCCTGGACAAATCCCATAAGTAGCGTCATCACCGACCAAAATATACAACAAACGGCCAGTAGATTCTTTCGGTTATACTTGTCAGCCATGAATCCGACAAATATTCCCGAGAATGTAAAGATGACGATGAACACGGGGCCAGCGATGATCTGGTACAGCAGGCCCTGGCCGTTGTAATCCCACTTACACACCAGACTGGTCTCGTTGTTCAAGGTTGATGTACAGCTACAACACAACAAACAACACAATATAAACAACACTACTTGTTGACTGTAGCCACTGGTTCCAAATTGTACAACACAACACAAGAAGCTACCTGTTATCAAATAACAAGTACGGGCAATATGGTAATTAGTCATTGGAATTTCGTAAATATTTGAAGGAATCTAGTTAATCAAATTACAGCCTAAAAAACAAAAAGTAAGCGTGGGCTAGCATAGATATAGTCCCACCTTCCCTACCTTACAATACCTCCCATCACCCGTCCCTCCTTCACCCACACCCACAACTTCGTTTCCACCCCCACCTCCTTGTACACAAGCATTTTATTTCAAAATTGGTCAAGTGTAACCTTTACCTAAATAATTTCTAATCCTTCATTACTATTCAGAAGACAAATTCATGGAGACATGCTAAACAAGAGGTCTAGAGGGCCTGTAAAATTCACCTGGATTTTTAAGCAATCATGGCAAAATATATCATTAACTCATTCACCCCTGAAATTTCATGATGAACTATTCCAACCATTGAATTGGAAGAGTTTAAATGTGTCTTCAGGGGTGAATGAGTTAATACTATCATGGTACAAACCTTTCCCATTTTAGGATCTGTCTTTCAGTACCAAGTGGCATAACACCCTTCCTTTGTATACTATTTTAAAATCTGCTTATCAAAAGGATACTTCCTAGCAAACAAGGTTAAAATACAATCAACTGGTCTTAGGGAGAAGCTTTTTAAAGATTTAACGACCAATTTTGATCTTTAACACACTGCCAATCAACCTCAAAGAAGCTACACTCTTCCTCAGTACAAGGTTTCAGGACCCAGGTGTGCTTCTAAAGCAATTTATACCCCATAAACCTCAACAAAACAGGATTCAATCCTTAAATGATTCTACCTGCAGTTTTGGTCTATAATAGAATTATCTCGCAAAAGCTTACTTGGACTGTGATATGATGTTCTCACATTTGATGCCTTCAAGTTCAGCTTTGGTAAAGGTGGTATTAGCCATGCAGCCCTTGTCACCATAATGGATTTCCTGAGCAATAGATCTGTTGGTGATGGCGAGCATGAAGCGGTCCAGCTGGTTTAACAGGAAGGCCAGCAACAGAAGTACCAGCACAAATACCTTATATGGTGTTATGGTCGTCCACCACCCCGCACCTACACAAACAATACAATGGCTTATTTACATGGTATTTACTGTAAACATATCACGAAAGCATCTCAATACAATATTATAAAATACATATGTGCAGGTTAGTCGAGTGGTTAACACTCCGGCCTTCCACGCAGGCGGCCAGGGTTCGATCCCTGAAGTCATCGTATGCATGGAATATTCAGAGAAAGTGTTTTTCTCCTGGAAGTATTTCTATTCAGGACAAAGTCATACATGAACTCAGTAAGATAGATATTTTACATAGAAATAAAAAGTTTCCTTCTGTTGTAAAAGTGGTACACACCACTGGCTTTTTAAGTTTGTTGAATCTCTTAATTTTTCATAATTTCTATAAAAAAAACGTGTGTCACTATCTTTAGAAGTATACACCCAAGTTGAGGATGGCTGAACTTAAATAATCTCTTGACGGCCTATTAATGCCATGATAAGAACTGCTTTCAGTTGGCATTCATATGCAATATGAATGCCAACTAGACAATGGTAAACCCTACATGAAGTACAGGTGCACTTAATTGAATTTGCAAGTTGACATTCATTGAATTTGCCACTTGTTATTCTAAAAACTTTGTCACAATCCATAGCAGTATCTAAATCCAAGCTGAGGATGAGTTTAACTTAAATCTACTCTTAACGGACTATTTGTGTTGGCTCTTCCTTTTCCTGGATATTATACAATAAGTAACTCATACACTAGCTATACCAACAGCAGGTGCGTATAAATATATCAGATGCACAAATCTTGGTTAGTTAAACCAGTGCTTAGGGAAAACTTTGAATATAAATATATGTACAACAGAATCAAGAACATCCAATATATTTTCACATCTACAGATTTGCCGAGACAGACCAGACTGATGAGTTTTAAGAATATATTTTCCTTTTTTCTTTTTGGCAACAATTGAAACTTTTCACTAACCACTGGTTAAAGTTTTCAGCAACCAGGGCCAGGTAAATAAATACTGACACTGATGTAAATATGGCTGCTTACCTTGCTCCTCGTCATTTTTAGTCACTGCAGCCATATCCCGGTTGCTCTGGTCCTCCGCCTCCTCGTCTGAAAAATTGACATATCCTTTTTTTTTCATCATCTCAAATGGCATTACTTTTCTTGGTGGAACAGCTAGTTATAAGTATCACTGGTTGTTGTAATAACAGACCTGTGAGTGACTAAGTACTGTCTGTCGTGGTAACAGTTCTGTCAGTGAGAACGTATGTACCGCCTGTCATAGTAACAGGCCATAAGTAACACTCCCAACACATGACCAGCTCTGACGGTAGGTCAGTATCACTGACGACACATGATCAGTGTCGATTGACCAGCAGTACAGCGACAAATGAAGATTTTATCAAGTACACACACTATGACATTGATATCTAAACCTTTGTGACCTAATTCTACTAGACACATATATCATCAGCAAATGTTTCAAACAATTATCTTGTGATAGTGATGAACTCTCTTTGTTGAAACTTGTAGAACAACACCTTATGTAACAACACTAAAGAGGCCATCTTTATTAGGAGACAAAATTAAATATAAGGTTCAAATTGATCAGTGCGTAATATTTAATATTTGTATGTGTGTATCTGTAATACAATTGTTTGGTGTTAGAAATCAGCTGCGATAAAAAGCAAACAAAACTGCGAGGGTAAGCTATAAGGAAACAGGTGTTTGGGATCACCCTAAAGTGAGAACCCTAAAGTGAGATATATGTATTTTGACCTAAATTCCGGCTAGACTATTAAATAAAATCATAAAATATTGAATGCTGATTTAATAACTTCTTTCGCGTTGTAAGAACACAGTGTCCCCAACAAGAGGCACTAGTAGTTAAAAAGACTGGCTCATTTGTCCCCTTATTTAGGGATGAGGAATACACTTGTTCCCTATTTCGATGTCCTGTTGTTTAGGGGCTAGAGACAGGAAAGATCTCCTAGTCCCTTTTCCTGCTATCTAGGACTTAGAAACTGAAAGGTTACCTAGTCACAAGTCCTATATTGTCACACACTGAGTACACCTGTTGCCATCACACTTATCGGAAAAAGATAAATTTTGTTTGCGATTTTTGTATCGTTGATGTACATAGATATGAGAACTGTAGGTATTATTCAGGTAACATGTGCAATATCAGGTGTACTTTCCATCTCATTGACTAGGGACACATAAATGGAGTGGCGTTAGGTATGTATTAAAACCTACACCAGCTGACGTGTTTTTTTACTGTAACTGTAATTGTGTATAAAGTATTTGTACTGTCATTGGCAATAATTCTTTATACAATATTTGTACTGTATTTTCAATTCTTAATACAATATATGTATTTATTATAGTCACGGTATACCTTAATGTATGTAGTGCAGGTAGTACAGGTGTACTAGTGTCTGGATATGAGACCAAGGTGACACAGGTAGCCGTGTGAGGCGGGACGGGTAACAGGTAACCGCACGTGTTACAGGTGTGACATGGGTGTCTATAGAGTCATAAATGTAGTTTGAGGGTAACAGTCATTCGAGTCTTGACGGTTCATCGATTCACTTCAAGAAATTATATTTCCTTTTGTTAAATCATAGAATTATGAAATTTCCCCGTTTTCCTTGAGACAGGCACGAACTCCAGGGATGATTCTGGAAAGGGAATCTGGATTCAGGACGAAGAGAAGGGAGAAGGGGAGAAGGATCGGGCAGGTGCCCTTGTATTTCATGTACCTGTTCCTTAAATAAAATGGTTGACCGTCGAAGGCCACTCCCATACATAGGTGTTGAGTTTTATATGATAAATGCTTTATGTTAGGTTGAACGTAGTGAATTAGAATCATGATTGTACTGTATTTGAATTATTTACACAATATTTGCAATGTATTTTCGATTCTTTATGCATAATTGGTACTGTACTTTTAATTCTTTGTACAATATTTTCATAATATAAATATAAACTTTATTTATTTTACAACAATTATGAAACAAGTTATTTCAACTTCTATTAATCCCTCTTGATGTTAGCGCACACAGAGATCTTAATGTGGGGGGAAACCGGAGTACCCGGAGAAAACCAACGGGTTAGGCAGGTGACCCCATACCTTTTCACGTCTGATAGGGGAATCGAACCCCGGTCACCTAGGTGAAAGGCATGTGGCTATCCACTACGCCACCCGACCACCACAATATTGTTACTGTTGTTGTACATTATTTTGTAAACTATCTTTACCATTGTATGGCATTGCCACTGTATAACCTTACCATCTTCAAATGGCATGCATAGCCTAATGAATGCCATGAGCAGAATATTAATGTCATTGTTATGATGTCATAATTGTTACGTTGGATACCACTGACCCTCCATGGACAGATGGCTGTTCTATTCATTTAACAGGCATAGGTATACATAAATGATAAATGCAATATTCAAACTAAATGCTGAATAATAACAAGGCATCACAAGTGTAACAAATCCCCTCGCATTCCCACATTGTGACATATGTGAGAGGAAATGAAGTAGGTAGAGCGATGACAAAGTTTATTTCTAAAAATAGTAACAGTGACCTTGACCTTCAGCGAAGAAACCCAAAAGGAGAAATTGTTCAAAGCATTGCCATACCAAACTCTTTTATGAAGTTCCATGAAACTCCATCGTCAGGAATGAAGTCAATAGAGCGATGACAAAGTTTTTTTGTAAAAATAGTGAGCTTGACCTTAAACGCAGTAACCTAAAATGCGAACTTGTTCAAGATATTGCCATTCCAAAAAAACGTAGAAACCCGAAATACAAACTTGTTCAAAGCTTTGTCATAATTACCTTGAGGAATGAAGTTGGTAGAGCGATGACAATGTTTATTCTACAAATAGTAACAGTGACCTTGACCTTCAATATAGAAACCTGAAATGTGAACCTTTTCAAGGTATTGTCATACTAAACACTTGTATGAAGTTTCATGAAATTCTGGGCAGAATCCTATATCCCCTCAACTTTCTTTGCGAGAGGATAATAAGTGTTACATAATTGTTACGGAGATTCAAAAACTCGTAAATTACAGTACTGAACTGCTTTCAGTCGGCATTCAAAGGCAATATGAATTCCAACTGGACAAAGGTAAACCCAAATTAAAGAGGGGGGGTCAGCCCCTTCTTGAGCAGAAATTCTGATCCTTATCATCTAAGGATCATTTTATAGAACATTTGAGATAATCCACTCGTATGATTCAGAGAAGGTGTTATTTAAAGGTTTTGTGCTCTGTGATCTCTTACATCCACGCCTGTCAGCCCCTGCAGCGGTCATCCCCTTTATATGTACAGAATCTGATCTTCATCCTCTAAGGGCCATTTTATAAAATGTTGGTGAAATTCACTAGTAAAGTTCAGAGATGCCAGAGATATAAAAAAAATACCGATGACCAACAATGCACGCCAACACCTACAGGTAACAACTATCAGAAGACAATCACAATAGATCACCTCAACGCCTCAGCTGACTTGACGAGGGTAAACAGGGGAATGTTTACAAGGAAACCTTTTTTGACCATCACTTTTGTTAATTTTCATTAACGGAGTTCCAACTTCCAAAATGTTGCCCACTTTAAACAGTTTATATATTTGACATATAACAATGAAATAAACGTTGTAGATTTACATAATGTTATTAATAAGTTGTAGGTGTTCAATGATTTTACCTTACCTTGGTATGGTTTTAAGTCCCTTCGCCTCTTACTGACCACTTGCTATCTCTGTGGGTAACAAAGTACTGTCCAAAGGTTGGGTGCTTCTACCCTTATCTCCTACCCACCTCAGGCATTTACACTATCGTAAGGTCAATTCAAGTAGATATACCCCTCCACTGTAGCACATATACATGTAATAACTATATACACACTTCTTAACAGTGCATCTCGTGCTTTGGGGTCATTTCGTCCAAGTGTCATTATTTGGACATTTTGATTGTTACGTTATGAGAGAAGAGTAATAGAATCTATCACTCCTGTGTGATGTAGACAGAGATAAGCCGAGTGCTAAACCTAACAAATATCTCATCCCACATTTTCATACCGTAAAAAATGCCTTCACTGCAAAGTTGTATTTTTGACCCCAATGCACTGAACTATCATCAACAATTCTTCCCTTTTCACCATTTTTTCCTACAGCAACACATTCGCCTATTTTGAACTATTGGAATGCTGAGCTTGCCATGTATTGCTTACATGTGTATTATACATGTGTGTTAAAAGTGATGATATAATCGGTTTACTGAAAAAAGTGCACAGGGTCACAGATCATGTTGAAAGAAGTGCGCTGTCTGTGACGTAATAGCGCGTGTCAGCTGTCTTGATCGTGGTAGATCAAGACAGGTTTAACATTTCCCTACCAAAAGCGGGAATGTACCTGTGAAGTGTGGGAGAAATATTTGTCTGCTACCTTAGACAGGTATATCCACACTTTTCCACGAGCGAGATATCTAATGTTAAGACGAGTTTATTCACAAGTGGTTACAATATTGTATGATGCTATGTCAACAATACAATGACATAACGTCAACAATTCACCCATGTAATGTCAACTTTACCAATATAGAACAGAGTCAATAGGGTAAGAGAAAAAGAAAAGAAAGTTTTACACTGCGATGTATTCATTCACACATTGACGGCTTGAAATTGACATCCTGCATCATTAATATTCTGTTTTGTCGTTATATATATTGTTTTGATCTTGTTAGATATTTGATGTAGATGAAATATAATCTACACTGTGTTATACCAACAGAAAATTCTTTCAAAAACAGATTAGATAAGTATTGGGAAAATCAAGTATTTTTATATAATTTTAAGTCGGAAATTCTATAGAAATTGCATGGAACTGTTAACATAATTTATTAATTTAATGTATTGTAATTATTGTATATTTGAGTCTGGTGTAGAGGATCTTAAATGATAAACCGGTAATAAGCTTAACTTAACTTAACTTATATGTTGTCTTTCTGGTAAGGTCGGACTACATTTTTACGCGGAAGCATTCAAATGTAGATTTAGTAGTAAAGAGGCCATTTTGTTAGGCCCCAGACGGGATACT